TTAACGAGCGATTCGATGGAAATTCTCGAGATGTTCGTTCTCGTTTAACCCCTTAAACAAAAACCACGTGGTGTATTGACCGGGCCAAATGTAAACAACGCGATTTTGGTCCTAGTCTGTTGGAGCCTGAATCATAGCCTAAGAGGTTAAGTAAAGTAAAACGAGTGTTTGACATTTATTTAAAAAGTATTTGAAAGTGCAAGACATTTTTTTATCAATATTTGGTTACTCAGTCAACGGCTGCAAATAAAAGAAGATTCACACCGAACTCGAAAGCTGTGTGTCTGCGATGTTCCTGTAACTTACACATTTTTTATCTAATTCAGATGATTTTTTTTTTCTCTTTTTTCTTATGCTCTGAGGACAAGTATAGGCTATCGTATTTTTCATATTCATCAAAAATCCCTCTCTGATTTTCCTCACCGAATCTATCCACGACAAAACTTTTAATTGCAGAAGCAAGGATCGACGCCTACGAACGCTTCGTTAAAACCATTTTAAACATATTTTTTAAAAAATTGTCAAATCAGCAGCTTTCCCCAGAGATAATCCTCTAGCGTAACGCTAAACCGTTTTCACCGAAAGCACGTAACTCGTGTACAGCTCGGAGCAACGGTTCCTGGGTGTAAAACGCGAAAGGAGATTTCCACGAGGGACGAAAAATTGCAGCAGAAAAATATCAGTTTTGCAAAAATATCGTGCAAACGCCGAAACGGGCGCGCGCTTCGCGATCATCGCGTAATAATATTTCCTGGCGTTACTCTCTCGATATTGCCGCCCCCCTCCCCTCGCCATTCCCTCCGTGGTATGCAATAGAAGTTGCACTGTCCGCCATATATGTATTTCCCGCTAAATTGAGTTTCCTCTCTGTTGGTCTTCACCGCAAAACACTTTCGCGTGGGCTTCCCAGGACATTGCCATTCTGATTGAACCCCTCGATCGACGTAAGCCGACGCAATACAGTAGCGCCTCGCTTAATGTTCGAAAATCGTCCACGGTTGCTATCAACATGCGAAGCACGGTCCAGAATTTTTGTTCGGAAGTTTCTGACGCCTTCGGAATCGAATGAATTCGTTTTCAAGCGCAGAATACTAGGTAAAAGTATAATAATAACTCCTGATGGTGTTTCGAAGTGGGAAATTCTCATTAGCAATTCGCGAGGGACTGGTAGAGAATTTTTCTCAGAGCGTTAGTAATGAATTGGTGAGGTTTTCACGATGAAAATGAGACCAAACACGAGAATCTCTATCTACCCTCGTTTAAAGTACTGAAATCGCGACCAAACTCTGATTAATGATACAGATTCAAATACAGAATTTTTCTCAGAGCATTATTACTGTATTAGTGAGGCTTTCACGATGAAAATGAGACCAAACACAAAAATCTTCTACCTACCTCCACTTAAAGTATTAAAATCGCGACCAAACTCTGATTAATGATACAGATTCAAATACAGAATTTTTCTCAGAGCATTATTACTGTATTAGTGAGGCTTTCACGATGAAAATGAAACCAAACACAAAAATCTCTACCTAGCTCCACTTAAAGTATCAAAATCGCGACTAAACTCTGATTAATGATACAAAGACGATTGCGTCATAGTATTTAACCAACTAAATTCTGTACATCACACGGTTTCGTTGGGAAAATTACTCTGAACTAACCTCAATGTCGCGATTTCTCTTGCGTAGAGTGAATACTGAGCTTATTCCTAATTTCTACCTCCTGTACCTCCTCCTCTTAATCAAGGGGCTATTTAGGAGAAGAACAGCTGGGAAATATATCCCCAAAAACGACTCGCAGGAATATTAGGCATCCTACGTGTCTGAGGCGACGTTGGCATTTTCTTTGGAACCAAACCGCCTACTCGACGTCCCGCAAAAAGATATTGACTCATTGTGACGTAAGAGGCGAGCGTTTCGCAAGCAAGTCTTTAAGTCTAAATAAATTTGCTCCATTAAAGCGTGCTCGATGAAACGGTGAGGAATGGAGAATTTGGAAATTTATGCATACCCGTAGGTTCGTTATTCTACGACGTCTCACTCGTTTTTGTCTCGCGTTCCATCCACAGGGTGATCCACCAGAAACAGTACAAGCTTGAAACATTTCTTACCTAGGGGAATATCAAATCGAACTCGCACGCTTTCGAACGCCCACGGAAAATACTTTATTTTTATGTTTGATTGATCGCGTTCGCAATCAACGTCGTGTATTTCATCCCTCGATGAATAAGCAACGATCAATTTTAGAACGTATCGGTAGAATTTAATGTAACGGTACATTAACGCGTTACATCATCAGGAATTTAATATGTTAATCGGAAAATGCAATTACGCGACAAAAGCTCGTGGGGTGTCAATGACGATTAAGGTTTTATCGCTCCGAGTAATTACGGGCGTTTGTTTCGCGCCGTCCATGTGTCTTCCAATGACGAAAGCAAAAAGGAGTAGGTGAATTCGATTAGTGCCGCGCGCAAAGAAAAACAAACTGCGTCGATCGCTAAATACACGAAGAGTAAATTCGAGTTTACGATTATCGTCCCGACAGGTGTGCGACTGTTCGATATCGTCCTAAATTTGATTAAGGAGTTACGTCATAGACGCTAATCCCTACTGGTCATTCGAATCCCTAATATAATTTTTCTGTTATTAACGATAACGCGATTAAATACGCAAGACCGAGACTTATCATGGCCCGTTCGACAAACAACATGGATTTTCACTTTCGTCGAGGCAGAAAAATAGAGCACACCAAATATCGAAACCTAAGGGTGGGAGGGTCATCATCTGTCGATATCCGATATCAAAGTGTCCTAAAATAATGCAAGGCAGTAGTACAAACTGTTCTCATCCTCTTCCTCCTCCCTGCCACAGCAGGGAGATTCTCGTAATCACGCGAAGCGTGAGGACCTAGCTACCCTTTAATGATCGAAATAAGCCAGTATCGTTTCTGATTGGAGTAAGAGAACAAAGCTAGGTAAAGATAGATCGAAAACAGATGACAGAAAAAGTAAGAAAATTAATTCTGAAAATTATGCGACAAAGGAAATGTATTTGCAATTTTAAGTACCGCAATTTTAGACTATATTTGTGTAGGCAATTACACGTGCCGTCTTTTGCACAATCGGCACCGCTGCCGACAATCGGCACCGCATTTCAGTGATCGGTGGCTAAAATAGAAAACGATTTTCTAATTGAATATTTATAGAATGCATTAATTCTGCATTACTCCGATGTAAATAAGATCTTGTTATCGTTTCACTAAAAATGGTTGAATATCCCCGAAAATTTTGGTGGGAAAAGTGGCGTAACCCCTTAACGAGTAGACTGTGTAGATGTCTGCGATGATAACCGACGTGAGGATCGATGGGAAGCTATCATAGAAAGGTATCCCTCGATAGCGATATCTCTTTTATTGCATATGGGTCATCAGGAGGCACGCGTCCGACCGACGAACGGGCCGCGATACGTGACGATAGCGCGATGCCTCGCGAAACGTATCCGGCTGTCATTTCGCACGGGGCTCATCCGTACATGTCGCAAATGAAAACCAGCTAACGAGCAGCAATATCCGCGTCATTAACTAGGGCTCTGGCTCTGGCGTAAATCATCCCCCGGCGCGGCCTTTATCTTATTCCGAAGGAGCTGATATCGGTCGTCGATTGTAAATCACCTGTCGTTGCCATCCACGGCTCCAGCAGATGGAAACGTTCGCGTGATTCCGAGCCGGGAGCCTAATAACGCGACGGATCGATAAACAGGGGGGGAGGGAGGGGGAGGTATGCGCCTCGAGGCGTGGGTGCAAGGTGGACGACGGTTTCTGGTGTCGTTGGCGTAATCCGTGAGGACACTTGACTAGATCACGGTAATTGCTAGAAACGATCCTCTCGGGGCTGTCTTATTCCGATATTATGGGGCTGGCTGTGATCCTCCTTTGTGAGCTTAATAACCCGAAGTACTGATAAGTAAGGAGTTGATCACAGAGAGACTTTGGGAATGCCGGGCGCAAGCTGTTTGCTAAATCTTTGAGGACACTTGGCTAGATTAAGTTAATTGCTAGATCCTCTCGGGGTTATCTTATTCCGATGTTGTGAGGTTAGGTGTGATCTTCCTTTGTGAGCTTAATAACTCGAGGTTTGCTAAATCTTTGAGGACACTTGGCTAGATTAATCTGATTGCTATGTAGATCCTCTTGAGTCTATTTTGTTCCAATTTTTTGAGGTTAGGTACGATCTTCCTTTGTGAGATTAATAACTCGAGGTATCGATAAGTAGAGGGTTGGTCACTGTTTGCTAAATCAATCAAGTGAATTGCCAGAAATAATCGCACATCCTCGAAGACACTTGACTAGAGTCCAGGGTTCATCGTCCCCAAGTGATCCTAAGATTTCTCATTCTAATACCCTGAGAAATCAATCAGTTCTAATAATCTCCGCTCCAGGTGCCTAACAAATGATAAAGTTTACCAACCGTTGCCTATTAACTCTCGAGGCAACGTTGACCCTTTCCCTGCGCCATTAACCCCCCGCGTATGCGGCATTCAAGGACCGTTTTCAGAATTCCCGGTCTCGTGAATTGCCAAGAATCGCCCACTAAAATTACCACAAGGGCTTCTTCCCTCGTTCCTGTGACAATTCTAAGAAAAGTCCTCCGAGCCAGTTTGCGCAACACCGGGAGCATTTTAAAGCTTCCTGTCGTCGTGGCGCGAATGATGCTGACCTTCCTCGTGCAGTTTCGCGCAGACGCTCCTTTTTTGCACACCTGCACGTTTGTTCTCGTACAGGAAACGGTACAAATAAGGAAGCAGTGTGATGCTGGTGAACTTAGCAAATGAATTTCACCGGTGCCGTGTACGTCTGTCGGCTAGGTTAATGAAATTGCGCCCCCCTGGTGTTTATGCTTTAAAAACGTCACGTCGGGGGAAAATGGTAAGGCTGTTTCACTGTTCGAAGGTTCTGTTTATTTCAACGAGCAACGATATTTCTGTATTTACATCGCTGACGCGATATATAACAAACGGCGTGCATAAATATGCGTAATACACTTCTATTTACAAACATGTATGCTAGCGGACTATCGCTATAGTGTAAAATTCGTGGCTGAGTCGAGGAGAATAGTACTCCTTGTAAAAAAGTGAAACGATCGTGTGGAACACCATTTTTTCATACGTGCCTCCCTTTGCGATTAAAACGACTTCATAGTCGTTAAGTTCGGACGCACCGAGACGCCATATTGAATTGCGCGCGCAGCACGACGCCATGCTAGAGGGCGCGCGTATCTCGCGTATATTCAAAGTCAATTTTCTGGAAAACAAGGCACGGAACGAAACAAATTTATTCCACCATTTCGTCTTGTATCTAGTTATAGAATCACGTCCTCTACGGTTCTTCTGTCATAATGCCATCCAATTAATTAACCTTTAGCAAAGAATGCGTAAAAGCTTCTACAACAAGCCAGAACAATGAAATTAATCGGACTTCTCATCTTTTCCACCAGCATTTCCTTCGTCGCCTTTTTTGTAATCCCACTTCTTCCCTCCTTCGTGCTTCTCTTTCTTCCCGTGCATCTCATCGTGATCGTAGTGAGTGTCTCGACCCTCGCTGATCTTGTGACCTTTGTCCTCGTGGTGCATCTTGCCCTTCTCGTGCTTCTCCTCCTTGCCGTACTTTTCCTCGTGGTCGCCCTCTTTGTGGTGGCTCACCTTCTCGTGACCTCCCTTCGCGTGCTTGTACTCGCGATGGTACTCGCCGTCCTCCTCTTCTTCGCCGTCCTCGTCGAACTCGTCAAAGAACTCTGTCCGCTTCTCGTACTCGTCCTAGAATAGTAAAAAGAGGATACATTCTAGCGTCAGAAATCATGCTCACCGAAATTTACCTTTTTGTGCACAGAATGTTGGCCCTTGGTGTTGTAACCTTTCTGATGTTCACCCTTCTCGTCGAATTCCGCCTCCTTCGCCGACTTCTCGCCTCCTTCGTGGTGCTGATGGTACCCGCCTTCCTCTTCGTGCTCTTTTTGCTTGCCATCCTTCTCGTCGAAGTGATTGCTCTGACGTTCCTTGTCGCTGTGGCCTTTGTTGGCTTCCTCGTGGTCGTGCCAGCTCTTATAGACCTATGACAAAAGGAGGTACGGTGAAGATGTTGAACAGGGTGCAAACAATGAAGGTAATGCTTAACACTTGATGCTTGAGGACCTTAACGCGAAGGATAAAGCGAGGTGCTGTGGGACATTCGACCATTTTTCAATTTCAGATAAAACGCGATCGGAACAAGGTACCTTGAAAGTCTTGGTTTCGACGAGTTGGGGTTAACATAATCCAATTAAAATTCTACCTTCTTTCCCTCTTCACCCTCAGACGCGTGGTGGCCCTCCATGTGTTCAGCGCCCTCGCCCTTCTCAAATTTGCTGTTCCCACCTCCGCCTCCTCCGTCCTTCTGATGACGCTGGTTCTCTTGCGTGGGCTGGTGCAGACTGTCACCTCCATGTTCAACGTCATCCTTCCCCTGCTGATGCTTATTGTCGTCATATTGATTATGCTTATCATCAGTTAGACCGTTCCGTTCATCTTTAAGGTACTCCTGCCTATCCTCAACGCTATCGCCAGACTTGCTTGGGTGTCCTTCATCGAGTATCACGTGAACCTCAGCTCTTCTTTGATCCTTCGATTCATCCTCATCGCTTCCTAGGTTCGTGGCTTCGGCCACTACATCAGTCACCCCTCCCTCCGTCTTCATTTCACCAGAGCTCCAATCTCTCTCACGATTCAGCTTCCCCGGTGAAATCCAGGAGTCCTCCGTGCTGACTTGATACCTCTGGCCCGGCGTTCGTGTCGGATAGAACACTAGACTAGCTGAGTAGGGGTTGGTAGGGGTGGAGGGTAGCTCTGTAGTCGAGACCGGGCTGACGGCATATACTACAACACCTGGGGCTTTAATATTTTGGTAGACATCTAGGCCTGGAGTCACTGGTAGATCTTTTAGGTCATTTATATAACCATGTTGCAGGGATTTCCTTTCCAGTCTTTCATCTCCAGACAAATTAGTCTCTTCGGAGGACGGTTGGATCCTGTAAGGAACAAGAGTCCTCTCCGTGACGGTTTCTGTGTACTCCAAAGATTTTTGCCTCACTGCAGGGACCGGAGGACTACTGGACACGCGTATCTGCTCAGCGGAGCTCCTTCTGTTGTCGTTCCTCCCGTGCAACTTCCTATTCAGCCCAGGCGGACTCCTAATGGGGTCAGTCGTCCGCAAATCGCCGCCATTAGACTCTCCGTCGTTGCTCCTCGATGCATTTGTACGGGAATTCCCGTTGTTAGCCCAGCGGTTGCCACCAGGAGCTGTGCTTTCGTGCGGCAAGTTGTCCGATCCACTCTCCCGATTCGTTTTAGGAGACACTGACCTGTGGGCGGCATCGTACTTGACCAAGGATGCCAAACGTCTATATTTCGTCGCACCACGCGTCGTAGGAGGGTCACCAACGTAACTGTTAGCGGTGTCTTGTGAACGAGCTGCGTCCAGTCGATTCCAACCCTTTTCTGCGAGACGCTTGCGGGTCTTCGTCCTTCTCGGCGTTTTGGCGGAGTTGGAATCCTCGATCGAGGGGGCGATGACACTTGTTGGCCCCTTAGAGTCACCTGGAAGGATGTTTTCTAACTTGGAGTCGGTGGTTTCAGGATTTCTCGATGGACGATCCTTGGAATACCTCTGTCTGGTCACTTTGGCAGGTCCTGCTACGGGGTAGAGGTAGCCTGTGGCCGTAGGCTTGAGCTTTGATTCTGTATCGGGCGATTTTTGGGTTTCACGAACAAGTTTGAAGTTTTGTTGAAGCTTCTTCGGTTGAGGGGATCGTGGCACCTCGTAGTAAGTGTTGTCAACGTCTGGTAGGGCTGCGTTCTCGCTGATGGGTACCGTGGAATCTGAAAGACAAGTTGTACTTCGTCAAGGGAAACTCGATTACTATGCTTCTTTGTTTGTTTGGGGGCGGAACGTTTGCATGGTGAGGGTAACGAGGCGGTATAGTAGCGACGGGCCTCTCGGTGACCTTGCGCGGTCAATTAATGTGGCTTCGACTACGACATTCCTTATTCTCTTTAAGCAGACCTTCTCAACTTTTCTTTCCGAGAGAATTACACTATTTAAACTATTTTCCTCGGTTAATATTATCGATAAATCGTAATATTTGTCTAACCTATCAAAGGTACCACCACTTTACCACCTATTCCTTTTGCACAGACCTTTCCAACCCTTTTTCCCAAGAGCGTAACACTATCTAAACTATTTTCCTCGGTAATATTACGGAGAAATCATAGTATCCATCTAACCTATTAAAGCTACCACCACTTTTTAATATTTCACTGGGCCATTTCTCCATTGTTTCGCTACATTTTAATACTTTCGGGATTATTCACCGGAATTGAGGCTGTCGGATCTACTAGTCTTCCTTTTAGCTTTCTTTACGATCCTCTGGGGCTCGTATTCGGCAATTGCCAAGGCGTGCTCGAGGCTCTCCGTGTCCATGGTATCATTCGCCGCGAGGATCACCATTCCAGATTGATCCACTTGTTGGTCCAAGCCTGAAGGAACAATATCGCGCCCTTGAACGTCACTTTGATTGTCCGCGGGCGTCAGAATCTCGTTATTGATCTTCCCTGGGCTGCGAACGGCCAGGAATTCGGCTGATCGTTCGACGTTATCATCGTTTATGGCGATCGTGCCGCGCGGGACGATCCGATCAGCAGCTGATGGCCCGAATCTCGTCGATTCGACGACTTTTCCGTTTGTCGAGGTTGATCTAATCGTCTGTAAAAAAAGAAATTGCTGGTAACAGGGGGGCGCATTAAATTTTTTAGGTCTGCCGAAATAATTTCTTACTGAATCAAGTATTTCTGTCAACTTGCAACAGTTTAATTATATTTACAGAGATTAGAGAGCTTCTAGGAAACAAACTTTGATCTTGTAACATTACTTACATATTTCTAAATAAAGTATGAAAGGCTACGGAAGGTATTAGGACGTTCCAAATGTTTCTTTCGTAAGTTGTACTCAGTTATTTTGTTGTCTATAGTGTTTATATAAATAGTGAACCTGATTTCTTAGATGTCGATGTTATAACTGCAGCGGAGTAAACTGGATCGTAAAATATTGCGTTACTTATACAATGAAACGGAAGAAACTTTTGGGACAACCTAATAGTTCGAACAAGTTACCAGATAAAGTAGTATGAGCAGCTGGGTAGCCGCGGTTGGTCTGCCCATGGCTCGTCGGTGACACGACGAAGACTGAACTGGGATTCCGGCCTGACCAGGCAATTATATCGGGTGGTTTCCCGTCTCAGAAAACCGTTCTTGAATGATATGACAATTTCACAGCGATTAGGAGGCCGGGGCGATTCTCGTCGATCGCCTCGGCCGGGCTTCCTCCTTTCTCCAAACTGTTGCACAAGAATCCGTCACTCGGCCAAATCGTGCGCCAGATCGCAACGAGCCGTGGCTCAATTAAACCCGCACAAATTTGAATGACGAAAACTTGCCCCCGTAACCTTATTAAGGTATATATGGTGGACACTGGAAGCACCATTATAAAATCATTTTCTCATCGTAGAGAAATATCAGTTTGTTGTTTATTTAGCATTTGGAACCTCGTGGAGTGTTAACAATATCGGAGATATACACAGCTTCATTTTTTCTTTTCTTTAAATTTATAAATTACACTTTTCAGAAAAAAAAGAGAATTGTTTAAAATAACTCATGAATATCTCATGATTTTTTACCACTTTATCCTAATACTTTTTCATATGGAATAACGAAAGGGACCAACCTATTTAACCAATAATATGAATTTCCATTTAAAAACCAATGCAACTATTAAATTGCACATGCACCACTGCTCTCATAAAAAGAATCATGGTACAACAAATATATAGTGCACTTTGAACCATTTATTCTGTCCCTTCTTTCACTTCCTAAATTTTTTTCTAAGGACACCAATTATTTGTCACACTTTCTCGGTCCACCCTGTATATAACCGAAATCGTTTCACACTTGATAAAGGATCTCGCAATTTTATCAGCCTCGTGGAAAATAGGAGTAGCTCTCGCAATCGGTTCGCAGGGCGAAATCTAATTATGCGCGATTGCAACAGACGAGTTGTTCTGCAATATTGTGATCAGATTTCTTTTCCTTCCCCCCTTCCCGTTCGTGTCCCCGTCGCCGCAGTTTTACGATATTAACGTGACAATTCTGATTAAAGTTGCGCGCACGTGCGCTGCAATCATTATCCGGAACGACAAATAATCTCCAACGATTGAGAATAATTAATGAGCTCCAGCACAACGACGCGTCCGCCATTGTAATTACACGATTGATTCGAATCGAATCATTGTTTTTACTCGCGACACAAGATTGATTACAGGTGACGATTATTTATGAATTTCGATTGCACGTCAATGCTCCGAATGTTACGGTGCCATAGGTAAAATGTTTATAAAGACACGCAAAACATTCAATGAAATAAAAATATGGCGATTGTTAATACGAAGTTCGATGGTCAGATGTTATTTTAACAATGTCAATTTTTAAGAGAAAATAGTAAAGAAAACGATGGGGACATTGCTTCCTTTCAATAATACAAACAAAATTTTCAATTAAATATATATGTTACAATTATTACTGTGAAATTTTATCAGATTTGGTCAGATTTTTCATTTTAAACAGGCTCTCAATTTATGAGAGGTGACACGGGTAGTTAAGTAATCGTCAAATGGCAGTTCATAGATGGAGACACTGCGTGGGAGTGGGTGAAGACGTGGGTGCGGAGCAAAGCAAGAAAAAGGGGATCCCCTGGATTAGCTTTGCCGATTAATTTGCGGGCGGTGAAGAAGATTCACAGGGCCTACCGTCACGAAACTGTTTCTGACGTTTTTCCTCCTACGACGTGCGCTATTACCTGCGAACAGGCGCCCTTAACTCTCTCGGGGTGCAATCTTGAGCTCATCCTAGAAATTTTATTCGATTTACGAAGGACGACCTCGTTACTGTCTCGACTTCCCTGTTTCTCCTTATACGTCGTCCTGGAATTAGCAATACATAAAAATTCCACAAATTCTAGATCTTAATTTAGGAGACGAAGATTTAAGGCTAAGGTAGAAATAAAAAGTTGACGATTAGATATCGATGTTGTAGTCTTAGAGCCAGTGCAATGCAGCGTAATACACTGTAATACGTAGTATTACAGCATAATAGAACACAATACAGCATAATACAACGTAATGCAAAGCAATACAGCATATTACAGTGTACAGTAAATTGTAATAGAATATAATACTTGATAATACAGCATAGTACAAAGCAGTCCAGCATATTAGAGTGTACAGCAAATCATAATACGGCAAAATAATGCAAAGCAATACAGCATAATACAGCATAGTACAAAGCAGTATAGCATAATACGGTATAGTATAAAGCAATACAGCAAAATACAGCATAATGCAAAGCAGTACAGTATAGTACAGTATACAGTAAATCGTAATACAGCACAATACAGATTAATACAACATAATACAGCATAATACAATGCAACGTAATACTGTGTAATACATCATAATTTCTTTAAACAAAAATGAAGTATATCTATGTAGTCGGAATTGTAATCGATTGGGCCGTTAGATTCCATCGAGTGAAAGTAATTAATGATCCCCACCCCCGGCAGAAGAAAGGGCTGTTCTTGGTCGAACGGAATGCCAGCTGAGAAGCTCGACGCGACGTCTGGCTTCCTGTCGCGCGAAGACTCGCAATTCCGCGAGTCGATATCGCATATCGGCCGTGTATTCATAGAGCGTCGCGATCGCGACAATGGAACAGGTAGCGGACCGTAGCCAATTTCACGCCAAGATTTTCACTTTTCACGGCGAATAGCCGAGAGCGAGTCCGGCACCGCGACGAAAACAACTTCTCGCTTGATCGGAGGACATAATCGAGAATATTTCATCATTTCCTTCGTCTCGAAGGGACGTGGGACGAACTTTCTCCCGGGCTAAGATGAACGCCTCGAGAGGACAAAGGAAAATCCTGATAACGAATGATAAACTCTATCTGGCATTTTGTTCGATATAGGAAACCGTGGGAAAGTAGTGAAATGCGTGTGAAGTGTTTAACACAGACTAACATTCGTGAAAGTTTCTACGAAGTTGCAATTTCGTTGTACTTAATTTTTTAATCTCTCCAAATTTTTTTTTATTACCGCCTCACATTTGGACTTAATGTTTCCATTTCTTTAATGAAAAGTCCTGCCATTCGTTTCTGGGCGACGTGGTGACCAACGTGTTAAAGAAAAGGTTTTCCATTTTCCATGAAAATAATTGTTTTTTTATTTTTAAAGGCGCGCTACAGGGATATAGATTCTCGTAGACTCGAGTGATCATAGGAACGATGAACGAGAACGGTTAATCATTGATTCGGTGGAAATGTATCACGTTCCATTGCAGGAACAAAGGAGTTACTTTCGCGTTGGTCCCTGTGTAATTTCGCAGCCTGAAAGGCAGTCTTTTACACTGGATTCTATTATCATTTTAAATGGCCATGTCCATCGTAACGGTGTAATTAGAACGCGCGGAAACTATCAAGGGAATCGGATTACAAAGCGTCGGGGCTCGTTACAATGGACGATTTTTCTGGATAGTAATGGCGCTACGCGGATGACATGGCCGCCGTTTTCATACACGGTTACATATTTCGTGGATTCGCTTTACATTAGACGATGTGGGCATAGTAATGTTTGGCTACGTGAAACTGTAAGCCTTTTGCTATTTCAATCAATATTTTATAATAAATAAATATATAATAAAACAGCCAGGTTAGATTTTTAGTTCAAAATTTAATCGTTGATTTCTACTACTTAACGCTACACTCATCTGGTAACCTAAGTGGAAAAGTAAAAAAAGAGACTATCCCCCATTTACATTAAATGTTAATCGATGAGGTTATTAAGTGATTCTTTGTCGTCAATTTATGTAATGTTTTGTTATACTAAACTTATAAATCCATTCATTTGTCAGTCTGACGATATGGCACGCCTACCGATACCTGTAGATCTCGTTTAGCCGCAGGCGGCGGTAGTGTCGCGTCCCCGTATAACTTCCAGAGAGGCCCTGGAGATTATTATCGACGTTAAATTAGTTAAATGAATACATTAGCAATTATAACTCATTGAGGTGTTAATGGCCATTGGTCGAAAACCATCGTTTCCCCGTTTCGTGTCCACCCTTCATGCCGTACTTCTTTTCGCGTCGATGATGACTGTCATTGCCGTCGTTAAGTTTGCGACCCTTTTGATTGCGACGGTGATGGCCTGCCTCGTGTTTCTTCTTCTTACCGTGCAGATGCTGAAGATTATCAAATTCGAGAATTAAATATTTAAAAATTGACAAAATTTACATTAACTAAATTCATCGAAAGGACTTTTCCGATTTGTTTTGTGTGAATATCCTAATTAACACCCTAAACACATTACTGGGTCAACCTACCTCGCGACGACCGGAGTCTAGGTGCCCCATCTTCTCGTGTCCGCCCTTCTTGCCCTCGTGTTCGTGATGGTAACCTCCGTGCTTCTCGTTCTCGCCGTCCTCGTGG